TAACATATGGAAGGCACTGGAATTAAGAGGGGTTTAACTTAAAGGCAACCAGGAGGTCAGCAGGCAGAGATGAGAAGGGAGAGATTTCCACGCATGGGGAGAGCCAGAGAAAATGCCCAAAGCTGTGAGATAGAGTGTCTTGTTTGTGGAACAGTCAGGAGGCCAGTATCACTGGTTTGAAGAGCATGTGGCAGGAAGGTAAGGTAGAAGAAGACTGTAGGAGGATATTAGGTTAAGAAGGACTTTGAATACCAGTACATTTTGTATTGGTCCTCAATGTAACTGGGAGCCAGTGGAGTTTATTGAAAAACTGGGGAGATATTGATGTGATCAGACCCACACTTTAGGAAAATTACTTTAATGGCCAAAAGAAGGATGGATTGGCGAGTAGAGAGACTGGTGCAGGTTCACCTGGACAACGGCAACAGTCTTCTGGTGCCTCAAGAGTGGTGACTATGTTAGAGGAAAGTAGGGGGCATATTCAAGAGATATTGAAATGGTGAAATTAATGGCCTTAGCAACAGACTGGCTTGCAGAGGGCCAGGGGTAGCGGGGGAGGTTGAGAGATAGTGAGGAGTTGAGGATGACTCCTAGGTTGTGAGCCTGGTTGACTGAGAGGATGGTGCTGCCCTTTACAGTAATAGGGAAGATCGGAAGGGGGAAGGGTTTAGTGAATTCAGTTTTGGACATGTTGAGTTCAAATTATCTACTGGATATCTAAATCAAGATGTCTTTCAGACGTCCTGAAAATCAAAGGAGAGATTCATAGAATTGAAAGCAAAAAGCACCAAAAAAACCCCACGCAATTAATAATTTAAAAAAACCAAGAGCTGACTTAAAAAAACTAAACCATTACCTAATTTGATTTTTTTTAGAAAGAAAACCAAATTACCAGTATGAAAAATGAAAAAGGTGTACTCACAACCAATGAGGAAATAAAATCAATTATTAGGAAATATTTTGCCCAATTATATGCCAATAAATATGATAATCTAAGTGAAATGGATGAAAATTTACAAAAAATATAATTACCCAGATTAACAGATTAGGAAATAAAATACTGAAATAACCCTATCTTAGAAACAAGTCATAAATGGCCAGATAGATTTACAAGTGAATTTTAACAAACATTTAAATAATAATTTATTTCAATACTATATAAACTGCTTAAAAAATTAGTAACAAAGAGATCCAACCAAATTCCTTCTCTGACACAAATATGATCTTGATACTTAAATCAGGGAAAGTCAAAACAGAGAAAGAAAACTATAGAACAATTTCCCTGATGAATGTTAATACAAAAAAAAATTAAAACAAGAACAAAAGATTACAAAGATCATATAGTATACCAGGCTAGGTTTATACCAAGAGTCCAAGGTTGGTTCGATATTGGGAAAACTATAACCATAACTGACCATGTTAATAATTTAACTAATAAAAATCATATGCTTATTTCAATAGATGCAGAAAAAGCTTCTGACAAAATACCATACCCATTCCTGTTTAAAAAAATAAATTCTAGAAAGCACAGGAATAAATAGAACTTTCCTTAAAATGTAAGTAGTATCTGTCTAAAACAAAGAGCAAGCATTACCTCTAAGGAGGATAAGTTACAAGCTTTTCCAATAAGAATAGGCATGGAGCAAGGATATCTAATTATCTCCATTACTATCCAGTATTGTGCCAGCTATAACAATAAAACAAGAAAAGACAGTGAAGGAATAAGCATATTCAAAGAAGAAACAAAACTATCACTTTCTGAAGTGATGCTTTACTTAGAGAACTCTAAAGAGTCAAATAAAAAACTAATCAAAACAAAGTTACAAGATGTAAAATAAACATATACAAAACATCAAACATTTCTATATGTTACCAACAAACCCCAGCAGGAATAGACAGAAAAAGATAAATTCCCTTTAAAATAACTACACATAGCATAAAATATTTGGGAGTCTATCTGTCAAGACACACACAGGAACTACATGAACACTATTATAAAACACTCTATACACAAATAAAGACAGATCTGAATAAGTGGAGAAATAGTAAATGCTTATGAGTAGGCCTGATCAATATAAGAAAAATGACAATACTACCTAAATTAATTTATTCAGTGCCATACCAAACTACCAAAGAATTACATAAAAAATTTAATAAAATTAATCTGGAAAAACAAAAGATCAAGAATATTAAGGGAATCAATGGGGAGGAAAAGGGAAGCAAGGGGGACTAACAATACCAGATCTCAAACTATAGTACAATGATGTAATCATCAAAACAATTTCCTACTGGGTAAGAAATAGAAAGGCTGAACAGATTAGGCAAACAATATGTATATTGCTTCTGTAGAAGCAAATAAGGTCAGCAAATAAACAGTGTTTGATAAGCCCAAAGATAACAGCTATTGGGTCAAAAAACCACTATTCAACAAAAATTGTTGGGAAAATTGGAACACAGTCCAGCAGAAACTAGGTGTGGGGGTCAAATACTCCTGGAGTGACTGTCAATTCTTCAGCTTGATCAACTGAGTTGATTTCTACTCTGCATCCTTAAAGCAACTTGTCATATTGTTAGCATACAATAAAACAGAAAACAGATCATAGCTTTGATCCAGGGATTGTATTGCTGAGTTTATGTGTAGTTCACCACTTATGATTATGGCACCCTTCTAAGTGGTGGCACAAGGACAAAAACAAAAACCAATCCCAGACTGCAAGAAGTTTACATTCTCTTGGGGATAAAACAGCAGATAAGACTAGTTCACAACCAAGACGCACAGCCACACTACCCTGCCTAAGGCCTGAAAATACAGGGCTATGCTGAGATTTTGAGGGCAAGGGCAAGAGGGAGATCTTGAACTTTATACTCTCCTTTTTATCTCTTCCCCTTGACAATCTCCCACTTTCTTTTACTTTACTTCAGTCTCTGATGAAAAGAAACCTTGGAAGACCTCAATGAACTTATGCAAAATGAAGTGAGCAGAAGCAGGAAAACAATTTAAACAATGATCATGAGATTTAAGAGAAAATAACTTTGAAAGACTTAACTCTTTAACAATGCAGTGAAGGGCCATAACTCCAGAAGACTGATGATGAAACATGCTTCCATCTCTTGCGAGAGGAGGCAGACTATTTGCACAATTAGACATTTTTTGAGATACAGTTGTGTTAATTTGTTTGTTACAGAGAATAATTCCTCGGGTGAAGAGGAAATACAGATAAAAAAAATGAGTGTCAACAGAGCATATAAAAATACACAGAATAGAGAAATTCAAGAAAAAGACCAGGGTGAGCTAAAGAATATTGCATATACCAAGAAAGCAAATTGTAAATGATATCCACAGTTTCTGTTCTATGTATATGGAAATATTCTTTTTCTAGGTTCCTCAAATTCAAAATAAAATACATTTAATTAGAAAAACCAAAAAGCAAAGATTCTCCTGGTCAAAGCCAACCAGTCTACATGTATCCTTGACCCCATTCCCTCTCATCTTCTCCAGCAGATCAACCTCAGTCATCCTTCTCTCTTTAATCTTCAGTCTCTCCCTATGTATTGGTTCCTTCTCCCCTGCCTACAAACACATCCAATCCCCTACACACTCACACCTTAAAAACCTTTTACTAGATCTTACCATCTCTGCCACCTGTTGTCACATATTTTTCCTCCCCTTCTCAAATAAAGTGAGAAAAGCCCTCTAATTTGGTATCTTCACTTCCTCTCCTAGAGTGACTTTGCAGTCCCATTACACTTAAATCCAATTCACTTGCAAGTCAAGCCATCACCCTCCTGATGTTATTGGTTCTCTCGAAAACAGGAAGAACAACAGTCCTCTAAGTCTTCTAAACCATTTGCAATCTGGCTTCCAAACTCATCATTCAACAAACTATTTCCCAGGTTACCAATGATATCTTAATTGCTAAATTTAGTGGTCCTTTATCAGTCCTCATCCTTCTTGACCTTTCTGTGGCATTTCACACTGACCCTCTCCTCCTGGATACTCTCCCTTTTTTTTGTTTCCATGAGATGTTCACTTCTCTGATCTAACTATTCCTTTTGTATTTATTCATGTCTGTCCACTGTGTCCCCAAAGGCTCTTCATAAATATGTGTTCACATGTATGTAAACACACAAATTAACACATGTATAATATACATTCATATGTGTATACCCATATACGTATATAATGTACAGATATGGCAAATAGAAAATGGGCAGTCTCAGTTGCCTTTGAAAAACTGCCAAGTTCTTTAATGACTCCTAATTCCTCCCTGAAACAGAGACCCTTCTTTTTAATACCAATATCTTTCTGCTGGTGCTGTATAGTCAAGTTATTGTACAACACAGTCCCCAAAGAATTAAAATTAAGAATTACCCAAAGGGCAACAGAGAAGTGATGAGGCTGCAACTCATACCAAACATAGAATTATGTAGGAGAAATGGAGTAAATGATATAATCAAAGAAAGGTGTGATCAAAAAAGATGGGCTGGTCAAATGATGAGCATATCTATAAGCTCCATTGTAATGTCAAGATAAAGTGAGGAAGATCTTAGCACCTTGAATGGACCCTGTGATGAACTTAACAGAAGGACAAAGACAAAAGTCCAGAAGATAGGCACGGATGACTTGGAATCTCTGTCACTGTTGGGAATATCACAGACCCATCTGAATATACTAAGTGAAGAGCTATTCGCCCAGTCTGTGCGGAGCTTCAGAGCTAGTCTGCATGGAGCTTTAGGTAAGACCCGGGTATGCTTCCATAGGAGATAGAAATGGCACAGAATAAAACAAAGATGGGAAAAGCAGGTGCTAAGTATTCATAGAAGAGATCTTTGCTGGAGGCTATAGGTATAGCCATTGAGGGATCAATTCCCAGAGTACCTAAGAAACAGGAAGGTACTAAAAGCATGACAGAAAATTCGGGATGTTATTAATATATCATGTATCACAATTTATTCAATCATTTCCAAATCAATGGGTACCCACTGTTTCTCGTTTTTTTTTTTAATACCACAAAAAAAATGTTTAATTTTGGCATGTGTAGTGCTTTTCTATCTTCAGCTTGGACTATGTGACTGGTACTGTGATTGATAGCTAAGTTAAAGGGTTGAACTGTTGTTTTTCTTGCATGATTCAAAACTTTTCCAAGAAAGCTAAATCATTGCACAGCTCCACTATAGCTTATAAGCATACCTGAATGCCCACAGTTCCTCCAATATTGTATAGAAAAGAAGCAATGTGGAGTAGTGGATACAGAACAGGCCTCAAAGGCAAGAAGACCTTGGTTCTAGTGCAGCCTCTTATACATAATAGTCGTATGACCTTAGGCAAGACACTTAAAAGAGTTGCCAGGGCACTTAGAAACTAAGTAGCAGACAAGCTGCTGACCATTAAGGATAGTGGGACATCCCTGTACCAAGAGAAAACACAAGTCCATAAGATCCTAGCCCTAGATAGAGATCTGGCCTCTACCCTGGAAAGATTTGGGATCTAGTCTGGCCTCTGATTAGATTAGCTCTGACTTCCAAGTGCTTTAGGCAACTCTCTGACTCTAAGCTACCAACCTATGTGGGCTGATAGTTTCCTATACCAATTAAACCACGGGTCCAGTCTCCATCCCAATCACCCTAGTTCATTTGATAGGCCTGAGGATCAAATCTCAAAGTTGTTTTAACTTATATACATAATGTATATATGTATATTATGCAATTATTATTAGTGACCTGGATCACTTTTTCACAGGTTGTTGATACTTCCCAGGTTTTACTTTGCAAACTGTTCACAGCAAAAAGTTCTTCTACGTCAACATGCATTTATTAACAGTTTACTATGTGCCAGGCACTTCGCCAAGTGCTGGGAATACTATTTAAGAATAGCTGGAGTGCGTGTTCATCTGCAAACCGCATGTAATCCCATACTACTAGCAGTGATAACAGGAAGCGTTTCGATAGTGCTTCAGATCCGCAAAGCGCTTTCCACGTCCCGCTATCTGATCTCACAACAACCGCGCGAGGTGGGCGGGGCGGGCCGCGCGCCCCGCACTCCGCTGACCCCTCGTGTTAGCGACAAGTCCGCTCGTCCAATCCTCCGAGAGAACTCGGGGCCACGCGAACCGGAAGCCTCCCCGAGCAGCCCAGCCTCTCCCACTGACTTGCTCCAGCATGCGGGCAGAGGCGGAGGGAGGCGGTGACCTTCCCCCCACCGAAGACGGAACACGCTGCGTTTATTAGAAGAGCGGAAGCCTCACTTCCGCCCCGCCCACTAGGACGCCGCTCTTTGGGGGGAGGGGAGGAGGTGACAGGCGGGCAGCCAGCATTCCCCAAGTTCCCGTGTCTTTCCCCTGTGGGCTGAACAACACCAACAAAAAACAGTTATACAAGCAATAGAAAGGATGGCGAAAGTTTCCCGAGCCCCAACCAGCCACGCAGTCCGCCGAAACAGTCCAGCCGAAAGCAATTACAGGCGTCAATCTTTTCCTCTTCGGCCCCTCCCAGAACTCGCGTTATTTCCTTTGTTTCCGGCTTTCGACCAATCCGGGAGGCTCCCTAAACCGACCAATCAGGAGGCTCCCAATAGAGCTCCACCAATCATAAGCTGGAGGCGGGAAATTTAAGCGTCCCGGAGGTGGACGGTCTGACTTCATTTTGAAAATTGGGCGTTTCCGGTTTGGGGGGAAAAGCGGTGTTTTTATAATTTTCTTTCGATAGTTTCCCCAGATCCTTTTTTGTTTCGCAGGTAGGTCTGTCCGGAGGGGATGGTTGGGGGAGGGAGAAAGGGGGGAGTGTATGTGTGGGATAGCGTGGGGGCGGGGGAAGGATCCCGTCCGCGCCTCTGCCTCTAGAGAGGGGCAGTTTGGGTCACTCTGGGGAGAAGTGGCTCCGCCTCTGTGTCCCTGGGCTCTGGCCCTGAGGGTTCCTTCGCCCGGGGGTGACGGTTGTAGAGAAAGAGAACTTGAGTAAATTATTATTTAGTCCCTCCATAGTGGATGGAGTCTGCGTGGCGCCTACTGGTGCACAGAAAGCTGCCTCGGCAAGTCTGCAAGCCCTGGGTTCAAGTCTTCTGACACAAACCCACATGCTGGCCTGGTGACCCTGGGCAAATCACTTAACCTCCGGGTGTTCTAAACAATTCTTTAAAGCCATAAACTGCGGAGATGGTGCCGATCACCTTTGCCAGAGGGAGTTTCGTTATCCGGGAGTTCCTTGTACCTTTGGAATCACTAGTTTGGTCCCTATCAAATTTTTGTTGTTCAGTCATTTCAGTCACGTCCGACTCTCCGTGACCCCATTTGGGGTTTTCTTGGCGGAGATACTGGAATGGTTTGCTGTTTTCTTCTCCAGCTTATTTTACAGATGAGGAAACAGAAGCAAACAGGTTTAAGTGACTTGTCCAGGGTCACACTGCTAGTGTCTGAGAGTATTTGAACTCGTCTTACTGTCTTCAGGCCAGGCACGCTGTGCACTACATCCCCTAGCTGCCCTCTATCGAATTAACATTCTAATGGTATTTGCCCAAGTCTAACACTGCGAGGTAACACAGTGGATAGAGGTTGGGTCCTGAAGTCAGGAAGGCTCATCTTCCTAAATTCAGATGTGGTCTCAGGCACTTATAAGCTGTGAGACCCTGGGCAAAACACTTAACTTTGCCTCAGTTCCTCATTCTGTAGAGGGAAATGACAAGCCACTCCAGTATCTTTGCCAAGAAAACAAGTCGTAGAATCATGAAAAGTCTGAGGGACTGAACAACAGCAATTCTAAAGGTGTACAGCATGTGAATTTCATTTTCTCCGTTTCAAAAAAAATCATTAATGAAATTTTTTTATTTTGTTCCTTTTTTGGAATCACTTATTGCTACTTTCTAGCCAAACCCCTCTCCCTTAAAAGGAGAGAAAACTCTCCCTTATGGTATTTGTAGAGTCATTCAAAACGTTTATCAAATACAGCCAATTTTTGTGTTTCGTTCTGCATCTCTAGTCCCATCAACTGTGTGCTAAGTATAGATCCACCTCAGTCTTCTGGATTCATTGCGTTCACTGATCAGAGTTCTTAAGTCTTTAATGATTTCTCTTTACAGTGTTGTCATTATATAAGTAGCTCACTCTCCAGATTCTCTGCATCCTTTTCTCATGTATTAACTGTGTAATAACATTTATAAGAAATGTATTCAGTAATTTTCCAGTTGAGAAGCACCCACTCTGATGTCAGTTCTTTGCTACAATAAAAAGTGGTGCTACAAATATTTTTTAAAATGTGGGTTTGGGTATGAGCCTAGCAGTTGTAACTGTGAGTCAATGACTATGCATAGATAGTGACTTTTAGGGCACACTTCCAAAAGATTGGATCGATTCACAGCTCCACTAGCAGTGTATTAGTGTGCTTATACCCTCCTAGCTCCTTCAGCTCCAATACAGATAAAGCTAGTGCTTGGTTTTAGATAGATGTTATTTACCATGTTGAGGAATGCTGCATTCCTATGCTTTTTAGTGTTTAACATGACAGATTGTAATTTTATTAAAAAGCTTTTTCATCATTTATTGATATAAGAATATGATATTTATTGTTTTTGTTAATGATATTTGTTTATAATTTTCTAATGTTGAACCAACCCTATATTCCTTGTATAAATCTAGTTTGAATTTTTTCCCCTCAAAAATCATTTTATTTATTCATTGATTTTTAAAACCCTCCCCTCCCCAAAAAACCCTATAATCTTTCTAATGAGTAATTACAGCTGAGGAAGTAATCATGCCCATTTGCTAAGACAATGTATGACTCTGTGCCTTAATTCCATTACCTTCTCTATCAGGATTTGTTAATACATGTGGGTAGTATCAGTTCTCTAGAGTCTAAGTTGGATATTGCACTGATTATGGTTCTTAAGTATTTCAAAGTTGTTTTACTTCACAGTCATCAATAAACTGTTCTCCTAGTTCTGCTCACTTGTTCATCATTTCATATAGATTTTACCATTTTCCCTGAAAACAGTTCTTTCTTCCATCACATTCATATACTGTAATTTGTTCCAAACCATTCCCCAATTTATGATTACCCATTTTGTTTCTAATTCTTTGGTACCGGACAAAAAGCTGGTAAAAATATTTTGTCCATAGGATATTTTCCCTCTTCTAACTCTTTGGAATATAGGCCTAACACTGCTGTTGCCAGGTCAAAGAGTATGCATAGTTTAGCAATTTTGGGGACCTACTTCCAAATTGCTTTCCACAATGGCTACTAGGGTGGGGAACCTGTGGTCTTCAAGCCACATATGGCCTTCTGGGTCTTTATGTGCAGCCTTTTGACTGAGTCCCAAGTTTTACAAAACAAATCCATTTATTAAGGGGATTTATTCTGTTAAGGTCTAAGGTTCTCCACCCCTGAACCAATTCACAACTCCATCATTGTGCATGTTTTCTTGCAACCTCTTCAACAGCTGTCATTTTCCTTTTTTCACATCTTTATCAATGAGCACATTGTGAAATAAAACTTCAGGGTTATTTCATGATTTGGAGCATTTTTTTCATGACTGTTGATTGTTTGATGCCTTCCATTGAGAATTGCTTGCTTATATCCTTTGACCATTTATTTTTGGTAAGAGACAGTCATTCCTACATATTTTAATACATTTCTTGGATATATTGGATATCAGAGTTTTATCAGAGAAACTTGTCACAAATGTATTTTTCCCTAGTTAATTATTTTTTCTTAATTTGATTTTATGCAAAAACTTCAATTTCATGTAATAAAAATTGATATTTTCTAAGTTCTTCCCTGTCCATGAACTTTTATAAGGTTACGAAAGTTATCTCTTTGCTTAATTTCCTTGTTGTGTGATATTTTATATCAAGATTCGTGGTCCATTTGGAGCTTCTTGTACTAAATATAAGATCTTGTGAGGTTTGTACTAAACCTAATTTGTCCTAGACTGCTTTCCAGTGTTTGTCAGATAGTGAGTCTTTCCCCCAGTAGTTGCAGTCTTGGGTTTATCAAATGCTGTATTTTCACTGTATTCTTTTACTTCTGTATATTATGGATTTAATCTGTACCATTGAATAATGATAGTGGTCATGTACATCCTTGCATTATCCCTGATTTTACTGGAAGGGCCTATAGTTTTTCTCTATTATATGTAAAGCTGACTATTGGCTTTAGATAGATTACTATTTACATATTAAGGAAAAGGTCATTTACTCCTATGCTTGATGGTTTTTTTTTAATAACAAATACATGTTGAGTTTTATGAAAAAGCTTTTTCTGTATCTACTATAATTACATGGTTTTGATTGTTTTTGTCATTAGTATAGTTAATTATTTACAATTTTGCTTATTGAACCGTTTCCTACTTGGTCATAATGTGTAATCTTTTTCATGTGTTGTTATAACCTTTTTGCTAATGTTTTATTTAAAAATTATGTCAATGATCTTTAAGACTATTGGCCTCTTGTTTTCTTTTGATTTGTTTCTCCCTACTTTAAGTGTCAACACTATATTTGTATCATATAGAAGCAATTTGTTAGTACATTTATTCCTTCTGTTCCTATTTTTTGCACATGGTTTATATAGTATTGGAATTAATTTTTACATGAGTGTTTGAGAATATTCATTGTAAATTCATCTAGTCCTGAGTAAAATTCCTCGCCCTCCCCCTACTTTGAGAGTTCATTTATGGCATATTCAATTTCCTTTTCTGAGATTGGGTTATGCAGTTTTTCTATTTCTCTTAATTGGGGATATTTTCTATGTTTATAGCTGTTTACCTACTTCATTTAAATATTCACTTTGACAGGTTGGCATATAATTGGACAAAACTGTTTGGAAATTATTTCCTTTATATATTGTGATTGCTACTTTTTTTATTTTTGCTGTTGGCAGTTTTTTTTTTTAATCAATTCCTCTTTCCCAACTTCTCTATTACTGTCAAGGATACGAGCACTCTCCCAGTTACCTAGACTCACAAGGTTTCTTTCTTGATTCCTCACTGTCACCCATTCCATACATCCTATCTGTTACCAAGTCTTGTCATTTCTGGCTTCCCATCATCTCCTGTATATGTCCCCATCTCTTAGCTCACACAGCGATGCCATGCTGATATCTAACCTAGATAATTACAGTAGCCAGCTGGTTGTTTTCCCTGCCCCAAGGCCCTCTCTACTCTAGTCAATCCTTTATTCAGTTGCTAAAATGAACTCTGTAAAGCTCAAGTCTGACCATATCATCACCACCACCACCACCCTCCTTCCCCTTCCCCCTCCCTCCACCCTTCCCCACCCTCCCACCCCCATTGTTCAATAAACTCCACTGACTTTTAAATCCCTTCACAACTTGGTCTCTTCTAACCTTTGCAGTCTTCTCAGCCTTTACTCCCCAACATGATGTGTGATACCATCCATAGACTATTTACTGTTCTTCACACACAACACTCCATTTCCCGACTGGGCATTTTCACTGGCTCTCTGTCGTGCTTGGAATGCTTTCCCCTTTTGCTCCCCGGTTTCCTTCAAGACTCAGCTTAAATCTGACCTTCTGTAAAAGGCCTTTTTCTGGTCCCCACCAACACACACATATACCTGTCCCCCCAGATTATCTTCCATATTTTCCATTTATACTGTATATATACACTCACATGCACAGCACACACACACACGCACTACATTTATTTGTATACTGCCTCTCATTGAATATGAGCTTCTTGAGGGCAATGTGTGCTTGTCTTTTTTTTGTATCTCTGACGCTTAGCTT